TCCTCTGCCCTCTTCTGCCCTCCCCTCCTTGCCTCCCCTCTTCTCCTTTGCCTTTCCTTTCTCTGTTCCTTCCCTTCCTCCCTCTCATCTCTGCCTTCTTTTGTCCTGTCTTAGTACCATTCTCAGGTAGGAGCTCCACATGCAGACACAGAATTGAGATACTGGCTTTGCAACTCCATCAGAAAGTGGATTTTTCTTGTAAAAGCCCCAGCAAAAGCCCCAGCTCTGGGTTTTAAACCCACATTGGGTCACATCTCTGAACTAGTCAGTGTGGCTGTGATTGGCCAGGTCCAGCTATGGAAGTGGTTATCACCGCCCGAACCACAGGAACTTGATTTTCCAAAGGCAGGTCTGGAGAAGGGGAAAGCGTGCTGGGCAGTTGGCAACCGGGCTGCCCACCGGGGGGTTTCGGCGCGGCGCGGGGAGCGGCCTGCCTGCCAGCTGGCGCGGCCTCTGCCAGCTCCTCCTGCTGGCTGGGCCCTGTTTTTTGAGCCAGATTTCGAGACCAGCCAGGTGGGCAGTGTGAGTGAACCTAGGGGAGAGAAATGAGGAATGTGTGCCTGAGCCCTGAGTGTTGGTCTACTCTGGCTGCCGTAACAGGCCAGCCCAGGGGCGGCTTAAACAGCAACAGGAGTTTATTTTCTCACAGCTCGGGAGGCTGGAAGTCCAGGATCGGGGTGTTGGCAGCCTTGGTTTCCTCTGAGGCCTCTCTCGGCTTGTGCATGTCTGTCTTCTTGCTGTCTTCATATGGCTTTCTGTCTGTGTGTCTGTGTGTCCTACTTTCCTCCTCTTATAAGGACACCAGTTGAGTTGGATTAGTTAGTGCCCACTACAACTGACTTGTTTTACCTTAGTTACCTTTTTAGAGACCTTATCTCCAAACATAGTCACATTCTGAGGTACTGGGTGTCAGGACTTGGGGGGACATAATAACAGGCAGCCACACCCAGTGGTTGATGTCGCCAGAGAGGAGAACATTGGTCCCTCAGATGAGCTCTCATGCCCCTCAGACGTGTTGTCTCTCACCTGCAAACCCTTGCTGGGGCTGTTCTCTCTGCCTGAATCACCACATTTCCTCTCCTCTCCACTCTGAACCCTGAGGCCTGGCTCCCAGCTTTCCCCTCAAGACTTAGCTCAGAGGCTGCTTCCTCCGAGAAGCCTTCTTTGCTCTCCCAGCACGGCCAACTCTTGGTGCCTCCTCTGCTCCCACAGCATCATTGTGGTGCGGGTCTCGTTGACCCCAGTTGTCTTTCTCCCCCTCTGGCTTGTGAGCTCTGCCAGGGCACAGGCCAGCTCTTACCCTTCACTGCATCCCAGCACACAGCCCTCACCTGGCACATTCGAGAGCTCAGGAAATCTTTGTCAAACAAATGAAGGAGCTGCGCCCACGTGAAGCAGCTGGTGGCCGAGGCAATGTGACTATGCTTCCATGTGACCTCACTGGGTGTACATTGCAGTGGATTGTGTTTTCTCCAGGAGGTGGGGAGGGAAGGGGAGGACTGTCAGGAGGTTGACCAAGCCCCCACCCTGGAAACGGGGGCGGCATGGAAGTTACCTCCCGGTGGGAAGGACCAGGCCACAGAGGGAGAGCAGTTGGACCCAGGCAGTTTTGTTTTATTCAATCCTCACCTGAAGATATTTTTTCCATTGCTTTTCAGAGAGAGTGAAAGGGAAGGAGAGAAGGAGGGAGAGAGAGAGAGGGAAAGAGAGAGAGAGGGAGAGAGAAAGAGAGAAAGATCGATGTGAGAGAGACACACTGATTGGCTGCCTCCTGCACACGCCCGACCGGGACTGGATCGAGCCTGCAACCGAGGTACGTGCCCTTGACAGGTCTCGAACCCGGGACCCTTCAGTCCACGGGCTGACGCTCTAACCACTGAACCAGACTGGCTAGGACTGTTTTAATTTTTAACCCAGGCACAGTTTGAGAGGGATACTGGGGCATAGAACAAAAAGAGAGAACTTCATTTTCTTGACATTTTAGTTTGGCAGGCCCTGCGTTAACCACGGTGATGTCTGGTCTGTGAGCGCACGGAGGGGTGGCATGCTGCCTCCTGCTGCCACCCCGTCTGCCCTCTTTCATCAGCAGCCTCTTCTTGGGCCCCAGCAGGAGACAGATGCCCACTGAGAAGAGCAGGAGGGAGGCTCAGGGGCCCGTTGTGGGGTATCTCCAGACTCCAGCGTGGGGTTGGAGTTCTGAACCAATCCTAAGCATTTACTCAAGACCAGTCAGCTGGCACCTGGAGAGATGGGCTTGTTCTGGGCTATTCGTCTGTTCATTCATTCATTCATTCATTCGCTGGGCACGTGTCATGCCCCAGTCAGGGTGCTGGGACAGCCGGGCCCAGTCCCCTTTTCTGAAGCGCTTCATCCTAGCAGGGAAAACAGACAATAAGTATATAAACACATAAATAATAATAACTGCCAATGTTTCCTGAGTTCTTATTAACATGTTCCAAGCACTGTTCCAAGGGCTATAATCCTCACCACAGTTCCAAGAAAGGCACTTGTCTTATAGATGGGGAAACTGAAGCTCAGAGAGGTCAAATAACGTGCCCGAGGTCACAGCTAGGAAGGGGCAGAGAGGGATCCAGTCTCCCGCAGGCTGAGCTCAGAGCCTGAGCTCTTAATTCGTGTTCTAAATAAATAATTTAGGTGGTTACAAAGTGACGCTGGGTTTTGAGGAGCCAGTAAGTACCCCACCCCTCTGCTTTTCCTTCTGAGTTGTGCGACAAATGAGAGAGAGGCACAGGACTCTGACAGAAGGAGGGTAAATTATTACCTTTCCAGCTGATAAGAGCTGGATTGGTGGCTGCTCAGGAATGTCCCCTGAAGTAGAGAGACCCCTACCCCAGATGTTGTCAGAGCTGGACTGTGATGGCACCAGCGAGGCGGAAGGGCCGTGTGCCCAGAGAGCGCTGGGGTGGCTGGAGAGGGAGAGGGGCTGAGCTGCGATGGCTTCCTGCCCCTGCCCTCTCCCATCCTGTTTGCCCTCCTTGGGAGTGGGAGGCAGGGAGTGAGCAGCACAGAGAAGGGCAGAAAGGTTTTTTTCCAATAACTGGGAAAGGAGAGGGCTGGGTTAGCTTAGGAATTCAGAGCCTGGAAAGTGAAGATTCTAAAACAGGACACTAGTTGGGCTGGGGGTCAGAGAGGGACACTGGTAGCTCGAGTGGCCAGAGAAGCCTTCTCGGAGGAGCTGATGTTTCAGCTGGGACAGGAATGAGGAGGAGGGAGCAGCATGGGAACAGCATGCCAGGTGCAGGGAACAGCAAGCACAAAGGGCCTGAAGAGAGGGGAGAGCTTAGTGTATCCAAGGACAGAAAAGGGCCAGGGACTATGGTACAGGATGAGGCCAGCAGTGATCCCTTTGGAGCCCTAGAAAATACCTTTTATAGACTTTGGTGGCTGCGGCAGACCTTCTGGCCACAGTTTCTGCAGGGCTGTCTTATGGAGAGGAGGTGGACCGTAGATAGGGAGTTAAGTGGTTAAGGGCAGGGCTCTGCGCCAGGCAGCCCTGGTCAAACGCTGGTCCCATTGCTTCCTAGCTCTGTGACCTGGAACAAATGGCCTGACCTCAGAGCCCTGCTCTGTAATGGTGTGTATTCGTTTCCTATGGCTGCTGTAATAAATTATCACAAACGTGGTGGCTTAAAACAACACAAATTTACTGTCTTACAGTCTCATAGGTCAGAATTTTGATGTGAATCTCACTGGGCTAAAACCACAGTGTCAGCAGCACTGTGTTCCCTCAGGAGGCTCCAGGGAGGGATCTGTGTCCTGGCCTTTTCCAGCGTCCACAGGCCGCCACTTTCCTTGGCTCAAGGCCCCTTTCTCCGTCTTCAAAGCCAGCAATGTCTCCTCTCTGTGCCTTTCTCCCACAGTCACACTTCCCTCCGAATCCCCTCTTCTGTGTGTGTGTGTGTGTGTGTATGTGTGTGTTATTGTGTAAAATATACATAGCATAGAATCTACCATTTTTGTCATTTTTAAGAACACAATTTGCTGTTATATTTTTTCTTTTTAATCCTCACCTGAGGATATTTTTTCCATTGCTTTTCAGAGAGAGTGGGGGGGGAGACGGGGTGGGGGGTGGCTGAGAGAAACATCGATGCGAGAGAGACACAGCGACTGGCTGCCTGTGCACACGCCCGGGCCAGGGCTGGGGATCGAGCCTGCAACCAGGGTACGTGCCCTTGGCCGGAGTCAAACCTGGGACCCTGCGGGCTGACGCTCTAACCACCGAGCGAGACCGGCTAGGGCCACAATTTGGTCCTAGTAAGGGCACTCACGTTGTGCGATCATCACCAGTCTTCAGAAGTTTTTCTTCATCCCACACCGACACTGTCCCTCTTCCAGTTTTAAATCCTTGTGATCACATTGGGTCCCCTGGGGTAAGCCAAGGTGATCTCCTTATTTTGACATTAGCTGATTAGCATGGTTCATTCCCCTCTGCCTTGCAACCTAACACATTCACAGTTCCAGGGATTAGGACGTGGCCATCTTTGGGGGCCATTATCCTTCCCACCGCCTATCTTCCAGGACGGCTGGGGGTGCAAATGAGACAGCGTGTGCCAGGGACCTAACCCAGTGCCTGGGCACTCAAGAGCCCGCCACTCTTACCGTCACCAGCATATTTCCAGCACTTGGGGAGCCAATCTTGTGGGCATGTGCCCCTCTCCATTCTTTGTCTTGTCCCATTGGACACGTGGGTCCTCTGTCACACTGGTCTGCATTGGGCCCCGGATGTCAGGGCAACAGGGAGCAGCTACTGCAGAAAGTGTAGAGAAACATGAGTCCTTCTAAAGTCAAGAGGGGACGGTGGAAAGGTTAGTGCAAGTCTGACACACCCCTCGCAAGTCTCCAGCATCTACCGTGAGCTCCCAAGAATCCTGCGGGACCCTTGATCCTGGAATTCCTTCTCCTCTGGGCTGCCACAGGCCCCCAGATCTCCTCTGCTGGGACGCGCCATGCTGCGCTTCAGCAGGCGCTTCCCAGCTTTCCTGCCTTCCCAGGCCGGGACCCTGCATTCAGCGCCTAACTCTTCTGCCTGCCCCTGGGCTTCATTCTGTGTAGCCACTGCTTCCCTGCCCACAGGGCTGGTTTCTGCCTGTGCTGCTGAGCAGCCCCCTCCTTCTGCTCTTAACTGCGGGCTCTGAGGCCCTGGAGCCGTCTTCCTGAAACTTGAGCCATTTGCAAACCTTCACAATTTCTTGCCATCTCCACAAACTCCCTGTACTCATTTTTAGCTGTTATTTAAACTGGCACCTTTCTTTTCTCCTGCTCCCCTCTCCTCACCTCCTTCCCCTCGTCCCTCCTTCCCTTCTTTCCTCTTTGCTTCTTTCTTTCGTGATTCTAGGATCGTACCAAGCAATAATAGTCACAAAATCAAGGGTTGATATGCTGGTTACATTTTTTCTCCATACATATTCAGGCATATAATTGCTTAAAAAGTTGTTTGCCCACATGGCATCTGGAATCACCTCCTTTCCCACCAGTGGTCCAGGTGCCTCACCGTGAGAAACATTGTCTGGCTCTACTTACTAGCCCAGGTCCCAGCCGCTCACCTGCCTCAAAGCTTCCAGCTGTCAAGCCTTCCAACATGCTGTTACCAGCTCCGTGCCCCTGGTAACATCCTTGTCACCCTCAAGGGCCCTCCTCATGTCTGCCACACACCTGCCCATCCTGCCTCTAGGCTGCATGCTCCTCCGGCCCTGGTACCAGAGCCCTTCTTCTGTCCCAGCCCTGCCCTCTGGTCCGTTCAGCCGCCCTTCCCTCGCAGGCTGTAAAATGTGCTTCACTGCATTCTTTTGACTCCAGGGTCCTCGGTCACACCATTATTCTATGTATCATGCTTCCAGTTAAACCCACCACCTCATCGATTGTAAGACTTGTCTCTACTCGGTAGGGGTTCAACAAATATTTGTTGAATGAATAAGTGAATGAACAAATAAGCAGATGCCTGAGCAGAATGTCCCAGCTCTGCCTGCACTTGGCATTTGACATATAAACCATTGTTTTCCTACAGGTAATAAAAAGGAAAGGAATTTGTCTGCGAAGCGAAAGGACAACGCTGAGGTCCTCATTCCCAGCAAACCAGAGCCAGACCTGACTCCCCCGCCCCCCACTGTGTTCCCAGACCAGGAGAGGCCATGTTCAAGTAGGAGTTCCGGGGGCCCCGGGTGGGGTGGGCCTGGGCCTGGGCCATTCTCAGTAGGCGCTGTGATGGAGGGGGCCCCATCTCGCCAAGGTCTGAGCTGACCTTTTGCAAATGAATTATAAGTCAAAGTCTCCAGAGAGAGAGAGAGAGAGAGAGAGAGAGACAGGGTGGGGGGGAGATTGAGATTATAAGGAGTTGTCTCCTGCAGTTATGGAGACTGGCAAGCAAATCTGCAGGATGGGTTGGTCGGCTGGAGACCCAGGAAGAACTGATGTTCTAGTTCAGGGGCCATCACACAGGAAGGACCTGTGTCACAGGTGAAGTCTAGAGGCAGTGGGGAGAACCCTGTCACTCAGGGAGGCTCAGTCTCTGTGTTCCATTCAGGCCTTCAGCTGCTGGCAGGAAGCCCGCCCACATTGTGGAGGGCAGGCTGCTTTAGTCTGCCAATTAAAATGTTAATCTCGTCTAAAAACGCCCTCTCAGAAACACCCCCAGTAATGTTTAGCCCACGGATCTGGGCACCCGTGGCCCCGCCCAGCGAACCACAACCATCACACCTACTTGCTTGCTTGGTGATCAAGGTGTGGTTATAATTGAAAATTTATTTTTGTTTTTACTTTTCAGTTAGTTTGGTTACTTTATGGGGGTAATAATACATGCAAATGGTACTAAGGTACAAAAGAGGTTATGGTGAAGAGTCGGGCTGCTGCTCCTCTAATGAAATGAGAAGTCACACTGATTGAGCACTAACTGTGACCCAGCCACTGCTGTAAGCTCCTACTTATGTAATTTACGTAAGTAAATTATATAAGTAAAGTACAGTCCTATAACTAGACTTGGAGGTAGGTGGGTGATTGTCCCCATTTCACAGGGCAGGTGATTCACACAGCTGGGGTGCCCTGGGCAAAATCCAGACCCAGCCAGCCTTGTTAGGCTGAGCCCGGGGCCCTGACCTCTGTGGCCACAGCATTTCATCCGTGTTTACTGGGGAGCTTGAGGGACTGTTTTCTGCCGGGACAGGCCAAGGGACCTGGTGGTGGGAACCAGCCCCTCCCCCCTAGTCCCAGCCTGGAGATCTGGACCGGTGCACTGTGAGCCCGAGGCCTGAGGCTTGGAGCTTTTCCCAGCAGCTCAGGGCAGACGGAAGAGGGAGGAAATAACAGTAGCTACCACTGACTTGGTGAGCATCTGCTCCATGCTGTGTACTATTGTCTTGGTTTGGATTCCCCTGGAAATAGGCTCTGAGATAGGGACAAGTAATTTATTTGGGAAATGGTTCTTGGTAGGGGACAGGAAAGGGAAGGAGCCAAAACTGGCTTCATTACCAAGCAAGTTTACTGGGCGAGTGGAGTGCCACCTGCCTGGGGAGTTCTGGGGTCAGTGCTGAGCACAAGCCCCGACATTGGCCACTGCTCCCCACCCCAGGGGCGAGGGAGCTGGGCTCCTCCACACTCTCCCTTCCCGAGGGCTGTAGGCTGTTCCTGGGGGTGCTGACCCTCCAGCACTCTGGCTCTGAGTGTCTGCTGAGAGACTGGGGACAGGGCAGCTCCAGGCATTCTCTGATTAACCCTTATCACAACCCCAAACCCACCTGGGGGAAGAGACCGCATAACACAAGACAAGTCATTTTAGATGGCAGGTGATAAAAAGAGTGGCTGTAAGGCAGAGTCCACATCAACCCATGTAACTGAAAGGTGCAGCTGTGGTGTGATGCTGAGGTGCAGCCAGACACGGGTGATTAAATGGCAGCATCTGCCTCTCTGCCTCTGCTCTGCATTCTTCTCCATGCCCTTCAGTCTGGACAGGCTCACAGGGGTGGTGCAGTGGCCACCAGCAGCTCTGGCCTTACAGCCCACCAGCCCAGCAACCCTGGCAGAAAACTGGCCTGGCACACTCTGCAGCCTGACCAGCTGGTGCAAATCCTGTCTTCTACCTCCAGCTCTGTGACCTTGGGCGGACTCCTCAGCCTCTGTGGGCCTCATTCTGCCATCTGCCACCAGGGATGATGGCACCCTCCTCGAGTGTTGCTATAGGATTAAAGGGCTGGATAGATAGACTGCTTAGAGGAGCACCTGGCTCAGAGCAAGTGCTTGGTCAGGGTCCGCTGGTACTGTTCTCAGAACTGTCAGCAGAGCCTCGGGGCTGCTTCTCATTGCCTGGCTTAGGTTGGGGGAGGTTCTGTGAAGGAGACACTGGTGCTGTCACCAGAGGCAGAGGGAGTGGGTGACAGGCAGCAAACTCTCAAAACTTCCTTATGGATACTATTACCCTGTTCTCCCATTTCACAGATGAGGAAACGGGGGCTCAGAACATGAAAGTTACTTGCCTAGAGTAACAGACAGGACAGTGAAGCCAGGTTTCACACCCAGGCTTCAAACCCTGTGCTCTGACCAGCTCTGCCAGGCTGCCCACCCTGGGGCTGGCTGACCACCGGTGGCTTTGGAGGCACCTGGGTGTATAAGCCCTGGCAAGCTCAACTGTGACTCCAGAATGTTACAGCTGCAGGTTTTCAGTTCAGTACACAGAGCCCTGGGTTGAGGAGTTGAGGTAGCAATCGGGGGCTGGCAGCAAGCGTCTGGGGGTGTGCCCTGGGCAGGGCTAGAGAGTGAGGCTGGGCCACAGGGCCCAGGCCTGGGGCCCCCAGTTAGGGCATGCTCCAGTTCACTCAGTCCAGTCCTGGATGGGATTGGCAACAGGTCATTGTCGTCTTTGACCTCACCAGAAACCTGGATGTTGAACACCTACTATGTGCCAGCCCTGGTCCAGGCCCTGGTGGTAGGATGAGCAACACATTATCCCTGCTCTCATGGTGTTTATGTTTTAGTGGTCAGGGATAGGTTACAAACACAAAGGTGGGGTGGTGACAGTTACTACCAAGACAGCAACTGGGTGTGGCTGGGCAGTGTGGTTAGAGGAGGCCTCTCTAGGGAGGGAAGACTTGAGCTGAGATCTGAACGATTTCAAGGACTAGCCCTTTGCAGCGGGGAAAGCCTGTGCAAAGGCCCTGAGGCAGGAAAGAGCTGCTCAGTTAGCTCAAGAATCGGAAAGAAGGCTGGAGGTTGGAACATAGGGAGGCTGAGATGAAGTCACAGAGGTGGACAGGGGCCAGAACATACACTAAGACCAGGAGAAGAACTCAGTGCCAGGCAGACCGCTGTGACTTTGCAGATAGGGCTACGTGACCTGGTTTACATTTAACAAGTTCCCTCTGGCTGCCACATGAAATGTGGCCTGTTGGGAGCTGGGGTGGAAGTGGGGTGACCAAGGAAGAGACCACTGCAGGATGGAGAGGAGGGTGGTGGCTCAGTCTGAGTGTCACCAGTGCCTGGACTCGGGATACTAATGGGCTTGCTGAGGAGTTCATTGTAAGCATAAGATTAGTTGTGAAATTTTATCCTGCACAACCTGGGGCAAGAACCTGGGCAGTGGGGAGTCTGCTGTGATGGCGCAGGAGAGTGAGACTTGGCAGTGATGGGGGCCCTGGCTTATCACTTGCCTGGGGTAGGTTCTAAATCTGTGCCAGGAGCAAAGGAGACTCAAGCAACAGGAGCTGGGCTCTGGGTCTGGACAAGCTGTGAAGTGCTAAGCCCCCTGCAGGCAGGCTGAGCTGCTAGCCTGTGTGCTGCCTCTGCTGGGGGTGAGGCTGGAACTGCAGGCAAACTGGGCCTGCAGGTGGGACAGGGTCCTCGCACGCCTCGCACGCACCACCATGAAGAGCCAGGGTCCTGGGGACTTCTTGACAAAAGCCAGAGCCTAGAACGAAGCCTGATGGGGCCTGAGTAAGGTAGAGGTGGGAAGAGAATCACTGTTGAAGTGATGTGTTGACAAGGGCATGTCAAGGTCACGGTAGCTGATAGGGTAAAAGAGCCATTGTGTTTGTAAATAGGTAATGGAGACATTGTCTATGGGGTGAAGACATTGTCTATATAACATGCAAGGTGTCAGAAAAATCTAGTGAGTTTGGGATCTGTTAGTTTTGGTCAGATGAAGATCTGGGAAGCTGGGAAGAGAGAGGAGAAGGGCCCTGGGACAAGCTGTAGGCCCGGGTCAGCTCTTAGAGCTCCAACAGCTAGTGGAGAGTATGGGGGGCAATCCCGTGTGACATCGTTTCTTCTACACCTCGACTGGCTCCACTGACCTGTGCTCCAGTTGCCAGTCTGTATTGCGGGTGTTCACTCTGTGAAAAACAAAAATGGCTTTTCAGAAAGTTCCTCCAAAATGAGTTGTTAAAAAGAAATGGAACCCAGAGTAAGTGTGAGCAGCATGGTGGTGGCCAGCCATCCTGCAGGCTCTCTGGGACTCCCTTCCTTCATGGCATGCCACCACCACCAGATTTTGCATATCTCAGTAATAAAACGAAGAGCCAGCATTTACAAAGCACCGAACCAGCTCCCAGGCCAGGTTCTGTGCATGCAAATGCAACCTTGCATTTAATTACCCAAACAACCTGTGTGCTAGGTACCGCTATTGTCAACACCATTGGCACAGAGACAGCCAGTACATGGTGAAGCCAGGGTTTGAAACCTGGCTGCAGAGCCTCTGGCCTTGACCTCTGTATTGCATGGCCCTTCCTGTGCCAACTGAAATGTCATTTGTTTACTACTTACCCACACAGCCTAGTCCTGGGCAATAATGCCTAAAAGTCACAGGCTTGAGTCATTTGTTATATTTTTTCTAATGCTCATTAATATAAATATATAACTAAATATTTTTGAAGTTAAACTCTGTACCAACTAAAATCATTTTGAACACTGTTTTAGTTTCCTAGGGCTACCGTAACAAAGGACCGCAGTGTGACTGGTTTAAACAACAGAATTTTATTGTGTCACGGTTCTGGAGGCTAGAAGTCCAAGATCCAGGTGTCATCAGGGCCGTATTCCTTCTGAAGGCACTCAGGAAGAAGCTGTTAACAGCCTCTCTCCTAGTTTCTGGTAGCTCCTTGACCCATGGCAGCAAAGCTTCAACCTTCACATGGCACTGTCCTATGTGCCCACCTATCT